TCTCTTCCGCTAGCCTCCACTTCAAAGAGAGATTGCCAGACCTCTAGGTGAATGGTCTAAATTTTAAACGTGTGGCTTTAGTAGTAGCTATTTGCATTATCTATTTTCTTTGGTTATCTTTTGCAAGACTTTTGTAATTCTCAAGTGTAATCAATACCGTTAACTTAATCTATCACGAATTTTCTTAAATCCAACTTGAGTAAGCTAGATTTTATCGTTAACATTGCAAAGTTAAACTCTCATTAATATCTAACTTGCAATTCATGTTATCCCATATATGTTTCACATCAGAAAAAGTCTTCTAATCGTTGTAAATAACCCGAATCTTATTTTGGTTTTCAATGATTTTGAGTATGGTGAACTTGATCTCTTTTAAATCAATACAAATTCATTTTCTCCTTATTCATCGCACTTTTATGTATAACTTTTCGTATACGATAAATATGGATTTTATAAACATTTTAATTGTAATATTATTGAATTTTACCGGGTAAAATGAAAGTTGTGATTTTTTGAAGTTATAAATTTATATAAAAATTTTCTGCATTTTATAGATTTAAACATTTTATGTTGCATTTCATATATTAAGAAAGATTGATACAATTGATATTAAATAAATGTGGTATTTGCATGTAAGCAATGAAGACTAATTATTAACTCTATAATTAATATGAGTTGACTCTTGAAATATAATACCCTATGTAAGAGGTTGGGTGTAGACTCCAATAATTTGCGCCCAACCTCCCCTCTTGCGGGAGAGTTTTGTCAATGTTCAGGGTCAAATTTTCAGAAGACAGATTAACTTTGGGATAAAGCACTATCTAAATAAAATGACACACAAGTAAAGTTCAATGATATATTGATGTAGAAATGCAACTAGATGTTAAAATGAAGGTAATCGGAGGGATCCTAGCACATGCAACTAGGGTAACCATTCTCTGATACCAAATGATATAGGACTAGCATGTGAAGACTTGCATTATGAAATTAAACATAAGTTAAATTTAAAATAAGCAAGCTATTATGATGGGGATGCTTAAAACAAGCTTCAAACAAGTAAGAAAGGCAATCCACAAATAGTAATTAACCACACCCAAAGTTTTGGAATTCAAGAAGGATAAATCAAATCAACAACTTAGCTAACATGGGTTGGAAAAAAGATCAATTATTTAACATAGATCAGTCACTACGAGAACCATACACTCAATGATTTAAGAAGCTAGCGGATTTAAATTAACATGAAAGTAGTGATGCCACAAAGAATTGAATTTCAAAGATATCTACTTAAATGTATGAAGAAAGAGTAGAAAGACTTAGGTATTTGCGTCGCTAGGAAGCTTCCTTTAGATGTGGTGGGTTCTCAGCCAGTTGATCTTCAAATGGTTGCTCCATAGTGTCTTCCTTGTGTCTTGCTTCATAGTGGAGTAGAAGAGATGCCGCCAAAATTTGGAAGGAGGGAAGCCATGGTTTTTGCTCTTTGGGGGAGATTAGGAATGGTATAATGTTAATTAGAGTGGTGGGGTTTAGGTGAATGGGAGAGAGTGGATTGGAAAATGGAAAAATTGTTTTGGGAAAGGGAAAATATAAAGTTAACTTTGCAATTAATTGGTCAACTTCCCATTAATTAACTTGAAGAATTCCAAGAGTGGGTCAACCATGGGAAAAGGGAAGAGGTTGTGGCTTTTCCAATTCCCAATTAATTTTGAGAATGAAAAATAAGTAGAGACAATTAATGGGTCAACTTCCCATTAATTAATATAAAGAGTTTCAAGAGTGGGCCAACCATGGGGAAAGGGAATGGGTTGTGGCTTTTTCAATTCTCAACTAATTTTGAGAATGAAAAAAACAAGCAGAGGCAATTAATGGGTCAACTTCCCATTAATTAATATGAAGAGTTCCAAGAGACGAGTGGAGTCCAATTGGAATCCCAAATGTCAAAATTTCAGATTTGGGAAATTTTGGATTGGGAACTTGGATGGGGAGGTGGTGATGGTGGCCTTGTCGTGGGCGGTGGAAGGGAAAGGAGGGGGGGTTGACCGACAATTAGGGAGGAAGAAGAAGGATGAAAAAGGGAAGAGATACAAGGGGAAAATCAAGAGCTCACCTAAATGGGTTGTTGGGTACTTCATTTGCCTTATTCTAAGGCTTCACCGTACCACTCCACCACAATCACTCTCACACATAAGAGAAGAGAGCTAAAATTAGAATTCATTCAAAAATAATCAATATCATCTTACAAGAAGAGGCTCCACCACATGACAAGACAAAAGACACAAATGCCCTTATGCTTATAACATAACATTAAGGAAAAGTTCACAAATGTCCTTAGGCTTACAACATAACATTAAGGAAAAGTTCACAAACAAAATTAAGTCACATACAACACACATAACAACTAATAATATAATGACTCAATCGTGTTCGTCGATCTACGATCGCTTCTATGATAAACTTTCTATGCATTGATGTCTCCATTAGTTGCATTATGTGCCAAGGTGCTTGAGGAAGTGAAAGGAAATCCATTCTTACATGAGCAAGGCCCTAATATTGAAGTATTTATCACAATAATAATTTGATGACATAGTTCCTGTCGGATCATATTATGGTAGTGGGCCAAGTGGGAAAGATTTCTCATCTTTTTTCCAAAAATGCGATTAGGGCAGGATGTTTTGCAATTTTAGAGAATTCTGTGATGAGGACATCAAGCCTTAAAAAGTCTACCAGAGGCGGGGCCGGCAATCTACGGCCACAATCGCGCCGATTTATTTTTGAGTTATTTTATGTATTTTGATTTATTTGTATACTTTTCCATTTATGCCCTTACTTGAGGGATTAGTTATTCGTAAGCCCTAGGGGCAATGTTGTCTTTTATTTTTCCCTTCATGTATTGGGCTATTTAAGTCCCTCCTCTTCTTTGAGAGGACTAATGAATGATTATTATGAAAATTCCTGAAATCTTGTGTTCTTGTGAGAGCTTGAGAGTTTTTGGAGAGAAATCCCTAGGAGGGGGAACCAAATCAACCACCAGCCGCAGGAAGAGTCCGGGGTCATGGTCACATTCATCTCCGTACCCCCTTTCCCCTTCCTCCATCAAACCGCCGGTCAGCCACCTCCCTCCCCCTCCTTGGCCACCGGCCTCTCACTTTAAAACCATCCCCAACCGCCGGCCAACATCCCTCCCCACCCTTCCTAGTCGCCGGCCACCCAAGGTGCTTCACCCATCCCCCCCCTCTCTCTCTCTCTCTCTCTTTCTCTCTCTCCAATCTTCCCCTCTCTCCACATTAACTCCTACCTCCAATTACTTCAA